ACGTGGCCCCGCAGGCTGGAGTCGGCGTTCACCTGGCCCTCCCCAGGGCTGCTGTCTCTCCGTCTGTCCCTCACTCCGAGTGGCAGGACTCCTCCCAACCAGGACTTGCAGGCGTGTCCTGTGAAATGTGCTCAGGAAGTGCTCCCTAGTCCCCGCGTCCACCGGGGACATGGTGGCAGGACTGGGACACGTGGGAGGGTTGACGGGGCTCGGCCTCTTCAGGCCGCAGAGGGCAAGACCCAGCGAGAGGAAAGGCCGAACGGCAACACGAGCCAACACGGTCTCTCGGGATCTGACTCAGCCAACTGTTTTCAGGAAGCTTCTCAGACAGCCCCAGGCGGGCGTGACTCACCCTCCCCTGCGTCCCCAGCCGGCTGTGGTCTGTGCCATAAACTCGGGGATCACAGGCTGCTTGCTTTACTCTCCCCTGTGTTGTAAGCACTGTGCTCCGGACAGGCCGAGGGGCAGCGTGGGTAAGCTTGCACACGTTCCTGAGCCTGTCCGTGCCTCAGTTCCCCCATCCCTCAAATGGGAATAGCACTCACCCTCGTTAGCGTTGAGTGAGTTGTGCGTGAAGAACTTAGGACAGCGCCTGCCATGTAGTAAACACCCGACGAATGTCAGCTCGAACGCGTGGCTGTTCGGTATTTCATCATGTCTCCTGGACCAGAGGGTGTCTTCCAGTCACCCAAGCCATCCCCCAGCACCAGCATCTACCTGGTGCTCGCCAGCGGGAGGCGCATCATTGCTCTCCTCTGCCCTGGTCGGGGGAGCAGAGGTCTCGTGCTGACAAGACAGGGAGAAGAATCAGGAAAGGCAGGTTGGAGTCAGGCTATACGGTGTTCCTAAAGTACATTCAGAAGTCGGCATTGTGACCCCGAGGTCCTGGGGGTCACTAACGGTCACAAAAGTCCAGGTAAGGAGAGGGTCGCGTTTAAGTGCTTTGAGCATCCCAACCGCGGCAAAGCGGACGAACGGCCAGGCGATGCCTCGTCTCCCCTTCGTGCAGAAAAACACCACATTCGAGCCTCTTCCGTCGGAATGGCCTTCAGCTGAACGGTAACAAATGTTGTCTGGGCAACCCGTCACCTGGATATCATTACAGCTAGCGCACCAACTTGCAGGTGCTGTGGGGAAGATGAGAAAACAGTTCCTAAAGGTCCGGCTTGGTGTTGAAAGGAGAGAAAGGGAAACGGCTTTCTGCAGGCCTGGCTCCCAGAGACCTTGAATCAATGCTCACGCTCGGGTGGCGCGGCCCTCCGACTACAGAGCCTCCTCGGCAGCCCGCGCTCTTGTAATCTGTAGCAAAACGTGTTCTTGCATTTCCAAAAAAGATTAACGGCACGAAGCACCACCGGGCGCCTACAGGGAAAAACGCTTGCTTATTTGCGTAAATATTTTACCATGGAGAGCTTTTAGCATTTAGAGCCTGCCTTCGGGGGATGCGGCGAGAGCCACCCTGGGCACGGCCACCCTCCCTCGCTTGCTCCGCGCTCCCTTAAATGCCATGAAGCCAACGTGACGCATGTGCTCTTTAAACCCACGGGGTCTGCCCCCCCCCACCAGGCACCCCGGCGCCCTCCCCCACCTCCACCTGCCGACCGAGGGCCTAACATTTACCTTCAGCTTAGTACAGAAGGGTGTGCGAGGGCTCTGCTGAGAGGAGCGCCAGTGAGCATAATCCATGTTTGCAAATACATAGTTTTGATCCACGGCTGCATTTGTCTGCCCCCAGCCCTCACGGATAAGCCGTAAAACCAACAAGCCACACGGCCTCTGGGCAGGGTGCCTCCCGGGGCCCAGGGATGTGTCACTGAGCAGGCGACTCTCAGACTGGTCCCTTTCGCTTGCCCGGGAAGCCTGTGACCACCAGCCACGTGACACGCAAGTCCCGCAGGGGGCTCCGGGTGTCAGCCTGCAGTCCCCCGTCCGAGCGAGGCGGCTGAGATTCCCCCTGGAGGCTCCCAGCGACAGCAGCATCTTAGAACCTCCTCTTGCGTCTCGCGCAGCTGATGCTTCTAGAACTTGTCTGGAGCGTGAGGCACACGCCCTCTTCTGATTGTGATTTTCTAGATGCACGTTGTTTTCTCCACCTTCTGGGCATAATCAGAGACCTCCCAGGCGTCTCTCACGCTGCGGTTTTCATCTTAGCCTTGGATCAGTGTGGCTCGTACTTGGCCTTGCCCCTCTGGATGCCTGTATTCTTTTTCACCCAGCACTTTAAAAATCAGACTTTGCTCGGGCCGCGTTTCACTCCTGCCACTGATCGGGCTCCTCTGTTCTTTTCCTCACACCCACTGCAGCCTTCTGCCCTTGCACGGTGACACTCAACACACTGATGTTTCTGACCTCGCTGCAGCTGTAATTACAGAACAAGCCTTTCCCACCGAAAGCTCTCATCCCGCAGCACTCTAGCTCGTTATTCTCCGCAAACGCAAGAACGGATGCTCAGCCGCTTCCTCTCGCCGTTTCTGCACAGAAGCCTCTCTTCTAGTGTCCCTTGAGTCTAGGACGTTTTCAGGACACTTCAGCGTAAGACACAGGTGTCAGTCTTCAGTTCACCAGGCCACAGAACGGGGACGAGAGGGCATGAGCCCAGTTTCAGGGCGAATAACGGGAAAAGACGATGTAACCCGCGGGCTGGGGGTTTTCCCCAGTGGCTCTGGGTAGGAGCTGGGTCCCAGACAGACAGACCAGCCCACGTGTCCTGCAGTTGCACACAGGTGGCAACGCTGTGCCTTGCGGTTCGCACGCGATGCGCCAGAGTCGTCGCCATGGCGGTGGGAAGGGGGGCATCGTCGCCTCCGTGCTTCAGCGGCAGAGGAGCCCAGGGTGGTCCCGCCACGGACACACCCCGTCCCAGTCAGTCCTGGTAGCGCCTCCAGCGGACGGCCCACACGGGGGAATATTACGCAGCCACTAAAGCTTGAGTTTCTGAAGGGAAAAAAAGAAATGAGGCTTTCGGGATGTGGCGAGGAGACACAAATAAAAAGCCTGTATTTGGAGAAAAATCAGTTCTGTTTCAAGTCCCTATGCATAGAAGGATGATGGCCAGAAGCAGTCCCTGAGATCAGTGACCTCTGGGCGGCAGGGTCGCCTTGTCGCAGATGCCTTGGGCGTGGTCGGCCCTCAGAGCCCAGGCTCTCCCACCCGCGGCCAGCCAGCAGCCCAGGCCTTAGCTGCCGGGGGCCCCGCCGGGCTGCACCCTCTGCCCTGGGGCCAGGCCTCTGAGGGACTTGCCCGCCAGCAGCCCTCAGCCCGTGACCGCTGGGAGTCGGGGGGACCACGCAGCAGCCCTCTCCACGCCTCCCATTAGGCAGAGCCTTGGGGACGCGCAAGGCGACTGCCTCCTCGTGTTTGCCGTCCGCTCCCCGTGTTTCCTGGGCTCGCCTCCCGAAAAAGCTCTTCGCTCCAGGCCAGGCTGGAGCCGACCGGGCCTCTCAGGACTCAAGCTGCGGCACCCCTGGAATAGACAGTGTCTTGTGTGCGCAGAGCCCCCAGGCGTCCCTCTGGCATCTGCCCTGCTTAGCCAGCTCTGTGCCCACCGCCGCCCGTGGAACGTGACATCCGGAGAGTCCTGGTCCTCGTGTCACCTGCCGACCATCCCGTCGCACGCTCTACCCATCCTCGGGGCTCCGCCTGCAGCCGGGCCGGGGCGGCTCCCGGTGGGTTGTCGCGCTCCCCCCGGACCTCGCGGCCGCTCTGACCCCGGGCCCTGCTGCCAGGGACTTGAGGCACCGCCCTGACCTCGTTCCCGACGCAGGCACCTCAGGGCTTTTGCACACAACCCCGGTTCTTCTGGCTGCTTTCTGAAACAACTCTTCCTCTCTGGAGGAGCCGTGGCCCTGGAAGTCTCTGCCTCTCTGCTCTGCTGGCATCACCTCCCCCCTGCCCGGGCACGGGGGTCAGCCTCTCGCTGTCCAGAACGCCTTGCGGTTTCCCCCGGTCCCTCACAGTCACCTTGCAGGTGACCAGATTGTCACAGTCACCTTGCAGGTGACATGTAGAGTGACCAGATTGTTTTCCATTCGTCTCCGTTTTCTTCCAGTCACCAGAATTATACCATTTTAGAGCAGGGAGCTAGGAGAAACAGCAGGGCCTCCCGGGCAGAATGTGGCTCTAACGCTGAAGGCCCAGCTCCGTCCTCTGCTCCTGTGCCCCCTCCCTGCCCCCGGGGGTAACACTGACTGCTGTGATGTGACACGTGTCCTGTGCCTGAAATACACTGGCCCTAGTAAGTGGGGGCTAATTGTTTTCTTTATTCATAGTGTAGGGGCGAAGACTTCTCCCTTCTTCCCTTCTGGGTTCTACAGCTGGTCCAAGGATTAAATTGACATAAGAAAGATGAACAGGAGGGGCCCCTGGGAGGCTCCATCAGTTGAGCATCTGACTTCGACTTGGGTCATGATCTCACAGTTTGTGAGTTCAAGCCCCACGTCGGGCTCTGTGCGGACAGCTTAGAGCCTGGAGCCTGCCTCGGATTCTATGTCTCCCTCTCTCTCTCTCTCTGCGCCACCCCTGCTTGTGCTCTGTCTCTGTCTGTCTCAAAATTATCAAATAAAACATTAAAAAATTCTTTAAAAAGACAGATGAAACAGAGAAAAATTTAATTTTATATGTGTATGAGCCCCAAAGATCAGAGGCTCAAATGTGACCAAAGCGGCGGTTTTTAATGCCTTTGAGACAAAGAAACAATAAATTTGTGAAGAATTGACAAGACCACAGGGTTTGGGCTTGAGCTAGTAATTAGTGAAGAAGTAACAAGAATTATTCATGCAGCCATCTAGGCCCTAGACTGCCCGCGTCCGGGATAAGGGGCCTCTCTTCCTCCTGCTGTGGGGAGGGCACCTTCCCCGTGGGAGACTTCTTTCCTGCTCTCAGGGGGAGAGAGGAGGGTCACAGTGTCCTTCCCGCACTGGCTATTCCTGGGTAACTTTAACCCAAAGTAATCAGTATGCGGAAATGGCATCTTGGGGGTGACCTGTGCTGCTCTGCTCCAGCGGCTGAAAATGAGGAGCCGGGAGTCGTGTTGGGGTTCAAGCCTGGCTCAGGACCTCCGGACATCCGAGATGTCACGTGCAGAGTGAAGGCCGCTGCCGCGGCTGAGGGCAGCCTTGGGCTCCGGGCCGCCTCGGGAGTCTCCCAAGACGTGTGCGCCCGTGGCCAGTTGTCTGCCCGCTCTGGATACGGACGCTGGGAGAGCGTGTGCGAGGGGGTCATGTCCACCCCTTACTCTCTCAGGTGCAGGCCTGTGTTCTCACGCCGTCAACACAAAAGCTGTCCAGCTCATCCTACACAGAAATCCAGTGTGTACCTGGACAGGGCCCAAGCCTGCTTGTAATGCAGAGTTACTTTCTGTTTCTTCGAGGAAGGCTGGTGGCTCTTCATCACCAGCAGGGATATTGGAGGTTTTGAAAACATCATGTCTGATCGTGTTCTTATGCGTAATGTCTGTGGCTGCCAGAGTGGCCTCTGTGCTTCACTGTCGAGCTCAGTTTGTCTTTGGAAGATACCCTTCTTCCCTTAGTTTCTCTCTCTAGTTTAGGAATACGCGTACGTTAATGACATCGGTCAGGTGCTTTTTGTGCTGGGTGCACACTCTCCTCCAGTGGTCAGGTGGAAAGAAGGGGTCGTCACCAAGGCCCCTGGCTGACCCCGGTCTCGTGCGAGGTTCACATCAGCCTCTGTACACGGAGCGTGTCCCCGCGCGGGCAGCACTGCCTTGGAACGGCGCCTGGTTTCCTCCCGAGCTTTGATCTACCCCGCGTGCCGCTTTAAATTTGCTGTTCACCCGTAGTTCCGCTGCAAATCCCGACAAGATAAAAACGAGAACGCGACTCATAAAAGCCAGAGGGGGACATACCGAGGTTAGAGGTGCGGTAAGAGCCTTGATTTACATAACTTTCATAGCAGTGGGTGAGGGTCAAGACCAGAAGAGAAACAAAAGCGGTACCGTAACTAAAAGACGTCGCGTGGCCCACAGGCCAGAGGGGAAGGTGTGCTGACCTCACCACCGTCCGTGGGGTCCGTGAGTCTAGGAAGAGCCAGGGACTGACCTTGTGGAAATCGTGACCGTCAGGCATGCGTATTAGAAGAACCACAAACAGACGAGAAACCCTTGGAAGGACCAGACCTCTGACAGAGCACATGCCAACCACAGAGGTGCCACCGAGGAAGGCCGGGTGCGAGCCCGGATGTGCCCTGCACTACTGCATGCGCT